TTCTTATCTCATCATTGACGTATTCTTATCTCATCATTCACGTATTCTTATCTCATCATTGACGTATTCTTATCTCATCATTCACGTATTATTATCTCATCATTGACGTATTCTTATCTTAGTTCCATATTTGCTTCTCGTCCCACTTCTGTAGACTGAATTTTAAGCTCTCGTTCATTTACGTCCTTGGGTTCAATGCCCTCAGGTATATTATCTTAAAAACAACCAGAAGCAACAATAATCGTTATAATATAAGGATATGACGTTAACAATAAATATATACCAGCACCATACTACATCCATGGAGAAAGAACCTGAAACCAAGTTTCATTACTACGTGTGTAACATAATACGGAACTTTTTTCCTGTTCGTAGGCGGCTTTCATCAGAGAGCTGGGCATGTCTGGGGTCGTATTCTGGTCTTTAGAGCACGACGATTTTAACAACCGTTGTGGGAATGGAAGCTGGCCGCTACTACGGAGTTTGGCCAGAGAACTACCACAAGACAGGTATGTGATTTTGTTGCGATAAATGCATGTGCGCACACTTTCGTCGAACCTGTACGGCTGATAAATTGGATCGAAACTTTTGACGTACTAATGAATAGAAGGCCGCACTTTATGTCGACTTATACTCTAGAAAATCAGTTATCGTAAAAAGATTAAAATTTCGCCCTGAATGAAAGACAATATTTGTTTGTCTTTTGGATTCATGTTCCTGCATCATAGGCCCGCCTTGTTCTCAGCACACTATCAGTTTTGTCTCTTGAGAGAAATGGGAAAAAAATACGTATTTGGCTAGCACTAAGAAAAGAAAGCATAGTGTACATAAGATAAGACTACAATATGTTTACAATCTACATTGCAGCTGCTGAAATTGATTTTGAGGTTTAGTCCCCCCCCCCACCCTTTTCCCCCCACCCCCAATTGCTCATAAGCATTTGGAGTGTATTTGGTGTCTCGGCTGTTTTGCTTGGTCGTTTCTTTGAGTAAACAGAAGCACGACGACGCAATAATGGTCATTTAGTGCCGGGAACTAATAAGACAGACAGACAGACAGAAACAACAGAGGGAAAGTAAAGAAGTAGAACCTACCAGCTGGGCCCTTCAGCGACAAATATGCACAGACAGAACACTGGTCGTCCTTTCTACTCTTTTAAGTTCAAAGATCTAAGAAGGCTCCCGTGGCTATGATGTTTAGTCAATAGTGAAAGCATCATAAACAACACGTTACACCCCCTTTCCACGCAAATTGTAAGATCAGCGGCAGATATGTACCTCCAAAAATAAAGAGAGAAAGGTATAAAAAAAAGTTTTTTACAATATAGCAAAAGACTATTGTTAGAATAAGCATCAATGGGTCTTTGGAGTATATATCTATATAACTTTAAAGGTCTCGTAATCAATTCTCTGTGTGTTTGAATGTTGCATCTGATGTGATATGTATATTTTGTCCCCTTTACTTTTCTTTTCATTTTGAATTTTAAAGAGAGAAATAATATATGATTTAAATATGTATGTATACTTGCATGTGTTTTTACGGTCCTATACAAAGAGAAAAGTTCTTCTCTGGGATAATAAAGTAATATCTTATCTCTTATCTTATCTTATTGTCGCACGTTGTCTCAGTCTGAGCCTGAGTATCTCTATATATTATAATTCTGAAACTTCACACTTTCTCCCGAACCACTTAGCTTTCGAATTTGACAAAATTAATGATTGTTCAGAATCATTTAAAGTGTGCTCAGTTTCATTGAAGAGCCTGAAATCACTGTAGTTAATTTTCAGTTTTTCATTAGTTTCGTTTATATCTAATCTTGGGAAAGTCCGTCTTCTAAGACGGCATTGTAAACAAGCGAGGCTTCCGTTCACTAGCAGTGTGTAGATTCCACCTCTTTGAAATTCTGGAGTGTACAACCACGAAAGCTGTATAGAGAATCTATAATACATCATCTATTATACGATATTTGGCAACTTGGAAACTCACGTGTCACTTTTCTCTTAAGATTTAAAGCTCCATTCCACCAGAGTGTAAAAAGATTAGGCCAATATGCCTTTCAGTTGATCATTCCTTTAATCGAAAGGGGGCTCAGCTAGTTATACATACGCACCTCAGTGATGTAGAAAGTGTCACAATGCAGAGGAATCAGGTGCTCGTCATTTTTGTGCATGTGCAATTGGAAGTTGTTGATTTCGAAAGCCTGAGAGTCCTTGGAAACTTAACATTTTCATTTTATGTTCCCTTAATCAACTTTTTTTCAGGAAAATTCTCGCTAAAATGTTTTAAAAGGACATAAAAAGGTGTTGATCAAGAGAACAGAAATTCGAAAATAATTATCAACCTGGCAGAAAAATGCCGATATCTTCGTTTTCATTATTTTGACGAGCGTATCATTTCACCGTGATGCATCACAAATGTATTGTTTCTATTCGTGTAATGTAACACTCTCATTAATGGGATCTCAACATCGAACAGTTACCGAAGATGATCTTCGTTTTTTACCATAGTCTGAACCGGAAATCTATTATCTGTTTGTGGTGTCCGAATTTTGCTATTCAAAAGGCTTTTTAATGGCAGCATCGATCGACATGCAGTTTACGCCAAAAGATTCTTTAAAATAAGCTCCAGAGCATGACGCCCTTCGTTTTTTCGGTTTCGAGACAGTTTTCCTGCAAAAAGCTAAATTTTTTTTATTTCGCCGATCGCTTTTGTAGGCCGACGCTTCGGTCTCTGTAATTTTAGAAAACCCGCCAGGTTTGTTTATTTCAAGTCGTACTTCGACTTCCGTTCGATACTATTGCGCACTGTCGCGCAATACTGAGCTCTATTTTAAGTATTACCTGTATTACCTGTCCTGGACAACAACGTCATTGCACACCGGACAGGTCCTTAAGTCTATTTTAAGTGTGCGACCCGTATAGATCTAGCCTCATGTTTTCTTTTTTCACTTGGTGCTAAATTCGACTGTGATCCTTTTGTTTGATGCCCATCATCGCTTTTTCTTTAAATTCTTTTTCTTGCTACTGGGAACAATCAACACGCTTCTGTCTCTATCCGTTCATCGAACGGGGGCCCAGCTAGTAATATTATATTTGCGCACCTCAACGTTGCAAAATGTATGATCTTTTACCCTTGTAATGTAATACTCGCTTTAAAGGAATTGCAACGTCGAACAATGACCGAGGGTGGTCTTCATTTTGACCCTCATAAAATGTTAACCTCTGCAAGTCCCATAAGTGACGACTTCCCTTAAACCTCTTCATTCCTGAACAAGAGAAATCTAACCATGTTCTGTACCCTTGACAAGACATTGATAATCCCATAGCTTAAAACAAAGAGCGGATCCCATGTCATCCGAAATTAATTGTCTACGACGCGCACGATACGACAAGACGTATCAAGACAATGCCCACGTCTTATATGTTATAATAATAATATTCATTGCTCACAACCGTAAAATAGACAAGTCACGAATTCGTGAGAGGGAACTTTGACAATGTAATTCCTACGGAAGATGAAACATGAAATGTGGAAACAAGAGCAGATTATTACCAACTCTCACCCTTTCGGGTTGCTACACGTCAACGGAAAGGGGAATGTTCGAGAGACAGCGACAGTGAAAGGGAGAGTGTGAAAGGTAGAGGGAGAGGGAGATAGAGAAGGAGAGAAGAGGAAGAGAGAGAAAAAGGGAAAATGGGAGAGACGAGAAAATAGGAAGAGAGCGAGAGATAGAAAGAGAGAGAGACAGAGAGAGAGAGAGAGAGAGAGAGAGAGAGAGAAAGAGAGAGAGACAGAGA